AAAAGTGTATATTCATTAACAGAAAAAAAAAAAACCCTCTTCCATTTTCTTCATATTTAAAGAATTATTTACTTAATTATATTTATTATTATCTTTAATTTTGTTATAGGGCATGTAGCTCCTAGAGAGAGAGAAAGAAAAAGACAGAGAGAAAGTGAGACAGCAAGCCACCAGGTCTAGGACTCAAACCACAGTGGATCATGTGGGAGTCCAGTGACTTAACCACCACACCACCTGCTGGCCCCCGTTTCCTTCATTTTTAAGAACTTAACTGCAGAACTAATTTAAAAATAGAACTTTTTTTTTTTTAAATTCAGATTAATAAGGTGCTATTGGGTTGTCAGAAGTCATGATGTATTTTTTCTGTTTTTCTATGCAAAAATGCATCATGACTTTTCAGACAACCCAATATTATGGGTAATAAGTTTAATACAATCTTAATTTCAAGTCTATATCTTGCTTACCCTGTCATATTTAAATTCAATTTTCTGGCACACACTTCGGATATAATTGAGAACCTCCTGTAAATTCCCATGAAAGGTATGTGGTTGAAAAGCCATCTTCTACAAAGACTGTATGCCCTTCGACCAGCACTCTTAAACCCATCTGTTTCATTTTTTCCTCTCAGGAATTTCCCGTCTGTGGGCTCTAACACTGTGTGCTGTTCCCTTTCAAACTGAAGCACATTCCTCAATAACTTGCCTGACCTTCCTCGGTGCGTTTCCTCCTCGCAGAGCCAGGGACACTGGAGTACGTGAAGAACCATCTGTGGTCCTGTCCCACACACCCTCTCCTGCGGTGTCTCTCCTCAGAGCCCCCTCGCTCTCTAAGTTTGGCTACACTGGGATTCCTTCCTTCCTCAAATCCAGCCCTTTCCCTGCCTCTGATCACACTGTTTCCTCTCCATGAATCATGTGATTAAATGACTTCAGGATGTCAGAAACATGCACAGTAAACATAACCAAATGACAACCTAAGTTAAACATATACTTCGAGGTGGCAATACCTAGTCGGTAAGCCAATGTACAGGAAAGAAAGAGGAAACAGGTAGAACCGAAGAAAGACAAAATTTTAAGAATGTCCAGCTGGAGGCATGGTGGATAAGACGGCTGGGTCCCATAAGGCTAACTGTGCAGTTCAAGTCCCAGACCCCACAGCTTAAAAACTAGACCAGGCGCATGTGCATGTGTGCCCAAAATTATGACAGGAGGAAGAAAAGAGAAGGGATTGTAGTTGAACCATCCCCCGATGGGGGGTGCTTTCTTGCTGTCTCTCTCTCTCTCTTTGGAGAAATAAATAAATAAACTTTAAAAGAAGGCCAGTGCTATGAAACTGTAAGTGAACTTTAGGGAAAATGACCTCCAGAGACTATGGGGAGGTCACTGCTGCTGCTGAGGTGGTACAGCTGCCCAACACTAGTGGGAACAAGAGCAACTGCAATGCTAAACATGAGCGTCATCAGCTTTTCTAAACTGAGCGTTAACGTGGGAGGAAACTACTTTCAAATGAGGCCGAGACCTCTTATACAAAGAAGAAATTCTTTCACAATAAATAAGGGGGAGCTAAAGACTCAGGGAACCACATTAAAGGTCCCTCACTCACTGCACTGTGCAATTTGGATGGTAAAAGGAAATGATGATTATAACTCACTCAAATAAGTTGAATCTGTGAAAAGCCAAGACTGTATAATTATACTCGAAAAAGGGAAGCATGGCTAGCAGGGGGTGTGATCGTTAAAGCACTGGACTCCCATTATGGTCAACCACAGTTTGAATCCTGGACCTGGTAGCTTGAAACTCACACTGGGTGCATGAACCTGTGTGCCCAAAATGCCTAGAAGAGGAATCAGGAGCCGTCTATATCTGAGTTCTGAGCAGTCCCATTCAGGGATTTCGACCACCGAAGACCCTCTGCCCAGACTTCATCCTCCTGCTCCCCAGATCTAGCCAGGAGCCAGGTTAGAACACTCTACTTATTCTCTCTATCTCTTTACATCTCTCTGTATGTATTTTTAATTCTTTTAGTACTACAACTTAGTCCTCTGCTGCTTTTTTGTCTTTCTAATTCTTATCTTTCTCTCTGCCCCCACAGGATAAGCCAATCAGCACCCATCTATCGAGTTCTGAGTGGCCGCATTCAGGGATTTCATTTTTTGACCAAAAAAAAAATTCTTCTCTTTTTCTTATAGTTTTTGTCCTGTTTTGTTTTGTTCTTCTCTCTTCTTTGTTTTTTTTTCCTACTCCTTTTACTTTTCTTTTTACCTTTCTCACTTTTCTGTTCAGCCTCCACACACTGATTTTCTAGACAAGTCTAGGTACTGAAATATCTGAATATTTGTAGGATCAGACTAATCCTCAATTTTCATTGAATCAGCTGTGCAAAGGGAGGAAAACAGTACTCTTTACAGACTGCAGGTCACCTCCTTCTGCAATCCTCTGATTGTGTTCAGATTTAACTCTAAAAAAATAGGAAAAAAACATATAATCCATCAGATGACCGGAAACCACTGCAGAGGCACAAGAAATATGAGAAACCAAGAAAATATCTTTCCTCTAATGGAAAAGAATAACTCCTTTTCCTCCACAAAGAATGCAAGAGAATTCATGGAAATGTCGGATAAAGAATTTAAAGTATTCATAGTGACAAAGCTAACAGAGATGCAAGAGAATAGGGACAATGAACTCCAGAAGATGCAGGAGAATAGAGACACCAAGTTCCAGGAGATGAAGAAGTTCTTACACGATCTGAAAGAGGAGCTACACATCATAAAAAGAATCAAACAGAATTGTTAGAGATGAAGGCTGCAATACAGGAAATCAAAACTTCCGTTGAAAATATCAAAAGCAGATTAGATCATGCAGAAGATTGAGTCTCAGATTTAGAAGATAGAACCTCTGACCTAGAAAAATTTACCAAGAAGACTGAGAAAATAACCCCCCCAAAATGAAAATAACATATGAGTATTACTAGATACCATTAAATGCCCAAACATATGGATTATCGGCATCCCAGAAGGTGAAGAAACTAATAAAGGCATTGATAATCTATTCCATGAAGTCCTGGAAGAAAACTTTCCAAACCTAGAGAGGCACTTAAATATCCAGACTTAAGAAATACAAAAGACCCACCTAGAATCAACCCAAGATCTTGCCCAAATGCATATAATAGCCAGATCGACCAAAACCACAGACAGAGACAAGATTCTAAAATTGGCAAGAAACATCAAGTTACTTTCAATGGAAATCTCATAAGGCTAACGTCAGTCTTCTCATCTGAAACACTGCAAGGAAAGAATGGGAAAATATCGCAAAGTGTTAAGCGAAAAACAATTTCAACCAAGAATACTATACCCAGCAAGATTATCTTCCATATGAAAAAAAAAAAGATATTCTCAGATAATTAAAACCTGAAAGAATTTACCAACACCAGACCAACTCTCCAGGAAGTGCTGAAGGGAGTGCTCTACCAGGAAAACTGAAGTCGGACACACAGAAATAAGAGTACAAGAAACAACCAAGAGAAGGGCCAGCCTAAAGGGAGGGACAAGTCTGGAGTTGAATGTCAACTTCCAGAGTTTAAATGGAAAGATCAGACCACAGGAACACTGCAAATTCAATACAAGAGAGATTAATTACGTGAGTCTAAACTAGTGAAATAGAAATTTTTACTTTAGACTAAAACATCACTGATTTTCTTTGATGCTTTTATTACCATACTTATGGATTTTTGTCTTCTCTTGAACTACTGATATGTGTATCTACCTATTTGAACTGAATCCTGATCTTTTTCCTGGCTTTAAGTTTTAAGTAAATTTCTCTTAATTTTTCATTTTGATCTAGTAAGATTAAAACTTTTTTTGAAATTAAAAATGCATTAAAAATATGTATTAATACCTATTTAATGACAGCAGTAAGCTATATAGCCCCAGCGAGGTGCTACTTTATAGTATGTTCACTTTATGCACTGAGGTTTATGCCTAAAGTCAGACATGCATTCAGAAAGGTGTATATATCAGCTGTGCTGGCTACTGAAAGTCTTTACATTAATTAAGTGAATAATTTACATAATTTAGTGAATCAATAAAATGTGAAAAAAGAGGCATGGAAAACAACTGTAGATACCAGAGACCATGTGGGAGAAGGGGGGGAATTGGCAGAGGGTGAGAGGCAGAGAATCAGGGTGGGGGAGCAAAATATATTAGAAACAAGAAATAGAAAATTAATTGTTGACGATAACATGTATGGTAATATCCTTGACGGAGCCAATATACAATGTACACTGGATGGAAAATCTCATTTTGTACACTGTATTGATGTACAGTGAAATACCGTAAATACAAATAAATAATTAATTAATCCAAAAAAGAAAAAAAAAATTCCTAGAGGAGAATGAAGGAGAAGGGATTGCAATTTGACCATCTCCCCAGGGCGTGTCTCTCACTATCTCTCTCTAGTGAACTTACTTGCCTTTTGGCAAAAGCCTAATAAAAAAAGAAAAATTTAACATAACTTGTATTTTTTTTAAATAATTATCTCATTTGACTTCATTTATTTATTTATTTTAATTTGACCAGAGAGGGACAGAGTGAGAAAGAGAGAGGGAAAATGAGAAAGTAAGCTGCTAGGTCCAGGACTCGAACCACAAGTAGGCCATGTGAGAGTCTAGCACCCTTAACCTCCATTTCACCTCTGGCCCCA